GCGATTTCGCTGACAGGACCGGGATTTCTAATGCACGGCCAGTGGAAGCGAAGTGCAGGATTCTTGAAAACGCCATGCCCAGTGACCGCGTATCCGCTTTTTATCGAGATTTTGATGGAGAACAGCCATGCTGGGGAATGACAGGAAACCGCAAGAGGATATATTGAAATTTTCGCCCACTGCGCCATATAACGCAGCAGACCTTGTGGACGCATGCCTTGTATGAAGAACACGCTCGTGGCGCTGTGTGAATGTGCTGCCCTTTGGTCTCTTAGTTGATGCTAATTGCACCGTTCCCTCGTGGAAACTCATTGAAACCTAGTACCCGCTCAGAATAACTGCGCTCCACAACCTCAATAATAATAAATACACAGCACCAGGAAGCAAGTGGCCAAATAACACTTGCTCAAACGTGTGCAAAGTTTACGGATTTGTGTTGTTTTGTGTTCCTAGCGTGCTGAACCTTCATGAAATATGTTCTATGTGTGCTCGCAAAAGTGTTATTTGGTCCCTGATCAGCAAAGAATTCTTTGCGGGTGCAGCATACACCAACAGACGGCAGCTTCGATGTGTTTCCACAGCTGCAGCTGGATTGGCCCTGATTGACCAAATCGGAACCCCAAATTAGGAACACTCTTGCAGAATGATTCTTACAGAGCGCCGTACCACTTAACTTACACGAGAGAGCGACGCAAAGTTGCACAAGCAGTGATATGACATTGTCAACGTTAACAGCTGTGACTATGGAAATGGACTCGGTGAGGGTGGCGTTGGTTGTAATTTCGTTAGGATGTTTCAACGCCATGGCAAAATTGCTTCTTGTTTTCGCCCATTTGAATGCCAAGCTGACCGACGGGGTGCTCCCTGGATGGAGATAAAAATTATCGGACAATGCCGAGGTCATTTCAGCCGGGCTTGGTGTTTACTTTTACAATTTAGTTTTACGTTTTTATGCGCAAAGACGTAAATTTACGAAAGGGGATATTTTTGCGGCTTTCTTACGTTTCGCGGCTCATTGCGGCGCGCAGATTGCACGGTGAAATTGGCGTACAATGATCTGTCCTCCGCCACTTCCAGCAACCGCAACACAGTGTCCGACTCGCCCTCGGCAAGGGCAACGACGGCGTGCAGCAAAAGCTCGTTTTCTGCCCCTTCCAGGGCGTCTGGCTGCCACTCCCCGGATTCCGTAAGTCTGTATGTACTGTCCTTATGTACGCGGGGCTATATTTACGTTGTATTGACGTACTTTATGCATTTTTATGTGTAAAAACGTAAACACGATTATGTTTACGGCGTAAATACCAAAGCTGATTGCAGCCAGCGGCCATCTCTCGACATGCCCATTACAAAATAATGCTCGAACGCGCCCAGGAAGGGTAGCTGACGGTACAGAATCAAAATAATCCTGATGAGGGAAATATTGCGAGCACTTGAGTAAGCGCGCTGCAAACCGATAAAAAAAAAGCGGCTTGAGCAGCTGGCCTCTTCGTGCTGCTTTAGGACAGTATGACTGGCCCCCCTCTGGGACCTCGGGAACAACAATGGACACAAGTCGGTATGTGCAATATCAAATCGCGCTAACGAGGTACATTTATGCAGGACATATCACATACCGAGGCGAGGATGCAGACATCATTTGCCTGTCTCGCACCGAAAAGTCACTGTCAATGAGTTGCATTGATACATGCGTTGTGCATTCCTGTTCGAATACATGCCGGCGCTGCCAGCATGCATGCGGTGAGCTAGCGTAGGACGCGGGCGTTTCCCATAAATAAGGATTGCGTTGGACTCGACCAGTTTCGCCTCCAGCAACTTCGGCGGTCGACGTTCCGCAGCCTGCAGTAGCTAGGCCCGGCCTTCTTCGAGTTGCAAAGACCGTACCCCGGACGCAGGCGACAGTGTCAGGCGGCGAGAAACTGACCCATCAATGCAGAGAGCAAGCCACCGCAAGCCTCGGGTGTGACGTGAATGGCCGGAATCGTACATACGCCCTTGAGCAGCGCAGGAAGACAAAAAAACGGGTGGATAATATTAATATTCACAATATTGTGGGCCTGGCTCGGATGGATGTTGACGAAATGCCACGCCATATCGAGTCAGCATTCCCGACCCCGAAAAAAGAAAGAGACAGAAAACGCCGACCTCGCGGATATGGCTCGCGGCCTTTTGAGGCGCTTCGCTGCGGGACCGCCACTGCTTCAGCGCACTGACCGGCCTGTGGCATCGTCTGAAAATCTTCGTGGCCGCAGCCTTTGGAATGCCACGTGCCTGCCAATTCCTCCCTCAGCAGCGCCTGGGCCAGGCTCCAGCGGCGCTGTGCATTCCTTTTATGTAACCCCCTTAATTTGTTTTCTTATGTACTCTGCTCCTTCCTGTGGAAATTTTCTCAAAATTCATATGCCGGAATGTCCTTCGTGGGGGCAAACGCAGAAAATTGTGTACGTTGGCCCTCCAAGCCGCTTTCTTCCCACAGCGATGCCGCGGGATGTATTTATTTCAGGATAAATATTCCAAACAATCGCAAAATGTAATAAATGCTGCGCAAGCCAGCATCCGGTACGTCGTTGAATCTCCTGCTGTTGCAGTGTCTCTCTCACGACCAACGCTGCCGCTCAGAAGCGCTCAGTTCCAATTCTGAAGAGTCTTTTTCATTAGCAAGGCTCTGGAATAAAACATACTTTGTGCCCAATGACACTCTGGCTGCTTCAAAAATATCAATGTGCCCGTGAGAGGCGGTAAATCTTCACACGGGAGAGATCTCTCCAGAGTGATCTCTAGAGCGATTCCGCAACTGAACAGCTTAGACAAATAACGCGAAGAGTATATTCAGTCGGAACTGGCATATTTTCTGCTTTCCTAGCCTGAAGCAATCAGCGCGCCGGTGTTGCGCTGCCTGTCAACAGATCGCACCTTCATCCGCAAAAAGTCCATTTCAGCATGCCCGGGAGTCGCGCCGCTTCACAAGCTCTCCTAGAGCTCCAATGCGCGTCCACCACCTGCACTGACGTTTCATTCCTTTTCCTGCCCTGCTCACGCGTTCGCAGATATAGAACAGGCCGCTCGCATTCTACACAGACGACAGCTGCCTTGGCCATCCGCCGCCGTTCCTGGACTCCCTGCGCCGAACGACGGGCAACTCTCAGTGACAAGGCGCGGTCTGTTCCGTGAGGGCCAGGGGACCCAAACCCAGGTGTGTGTGGGCCCACCGGCGAGCATCTGATCTCTCAGAGTACTCTGAGCTCCACTAGTGGAGCCGCTTCGGTGACGCACGAAACAATGCGCGCACCCGCTCCTCCTTGGGCTCCAGCCGCGACCCAGCCGGCAGTACAGCTGTCCACGCCCACAATTCGCCCTGGATCTCGCGCCCCAATTGGGGACGTGTTCCAGTGTCGTACAGTGGGAGGCGGGAGGCGGGGGACGGGAGGTTGTGGGGGAGGCGCGTCGTTGATCCCCTAGCACGTCTCAAGGCAGGGGTCCTTGCAAGCGCCCCAGGACGCGTCGCAGCGGCGTCCTGGTGGGCGTCCCAATTGTTGTTCCGTTGTGCGTCCTTGTCAGCGTCCCGTTCAGCGTCCCAATGGCGTGCCAGTTAGCGTCCCAGCTGGGACACGTGCCGGGTGACGTCCCAGCGACGTCCCGGCGGCGTCCCAGTGGCGTCCCAGCAGGCGTGCCAATTGAGACGCATGAAGTAACGCGTCCCAGGAGAGGCCATTTTCATTGGCGATGGCGCTTCTTCGCAGTCCCTCAGCCAAATTCTGTAAAATGACCTCGCACTCAAATCTTTCCAAGAACGCATCTCTGGCTTTGGAGCGCGGAGAGCCAAACTGGGTGCTCACGTATGAACGGCGGAATGTGTAAAGGTAGCAAAAGACGGGAAGTTTTCTCCACGATGAAATGGCCGGGATACCATGGCGTGTGAAGCGCTCCTGTACTGGTGGCAATATCTGTTGCATGTCTAATGTTGTTCCATCAAAAAATGGTGGTTTTCTGTTAAACACAAGATGATCGACCCGTGCGCCGCATGGGAATGTCATGCTTTGGCGCCCGACTAGTTGTCATATCGTGATTGACGGACTATGCTTAAACGAATGAGTTAATGGATGAATGATGATGATGATGATGACGATGATGATGATGATGATGAATTCCTTAATTACATAACGTTCACTAAACCCAACTCCGCTGCTGCTGCTGCTGATGACGATGATGATGATGATGATGATGACGATTGGTGGATTCCTCTGCAGCGACCTATCGTTGATGTTCGTTGTGAGATGATGGACAGTGGGAGCGATGAGCTTCCTTTACACGCTGAGATTGTTGATGGTAATTGGGGAGGAGACACAAACGGTATCGGAAGACGAGATCGCTCTGTTGCCACCGACATTCGTTTGGAGCGACCCTTTCAGGGCTAGTTTTGGTAGACGTATGCGAACATTCGGTGCGAAGGGTGTTCTTTGCCCAGGGTGCTGGGACTCTCATGCTGTGCTCCCTCAAATTGCCACCCCGCGGGCTGGTCGTGTCTGCATGTTTGTCCCAAGGTAGCTTTTCAAGGCGAGTATCTTTGAGCACACCCCTCTCTACTATGTGTCTATCCTTGCTTGTGGTCAGGCTTGCGTTTCGACCTTCGTTGATCCACGCATTGCTATCAACCTGGCGGACCGTGGAGAATCAATTGCTGAGTCTAGTGCCGCTTATTTATGTCTTGGAATTGGCCCACTTCTGCGACTGCTAATGCGGCCATCCAACGATGGACCGCAAGGAATGCATAGGACATGCATAGTGCACATATTGGACACCTCCACACGAAAGCAGACGTTGTTTTTGGACTGGTCCCTAGTAGGGATTCCCTACTTGCCTACAGCAGCTTGAACAGCAACAGTTTGGCGGTTACACCAAACGCAGGAATGCAGAGTACGCTGGACGTGCAACCCATACAATCACGGGGTAAATGGCACCCACAGCACCACCATCGCAACGCCAACGCTGCACAACAGCATTATTTATAAGAAATGTAGACGATTCCTTAGATTTGCCTCTCCATCTGCAGTTATCAATGCACAACGAACGACGTTCAAATCCTTGAGCGCAGTCAACTTCGTCAAGTGGGCCAAGCCACCATCTGTAATTTGCGGTAGTTCTGCCAGGTGTAGTTTGCGAAGGCCTTCCAAATTTCCCAAGTCGCTCAACGCCCCATCTGTGATGCCACAATGGCCCAAGCTCAGATCTTGAAGACGCCTGAGGTTGGAGATCTCTTGAAGCCCAGTGTCTGTGATACAATTTGAACGAAATAGATTCAGCGACGTCAGGGCACTCAGCTTGCACACCCGCTGCAGACCCTCATCTTCTAGGCAGTCCAGAGCATTAATATCCAAATACTCCAGGTTTACACACTCTGCCACATATCTCAGGCTCTCGTGAGATAGATTTATGCACCTGAAAAGTGATAGGGATTTCAGAGAGACGAGCCTGGTCACAATCTCCAAACCTCTGTCTGTTATCTCCACGCAGGCGCCCAAGTGCAAGCTTTGAAGGTTCGTCAACCCTGAAATATGGGTCAATTCAGCATCAGACATGTGCACACAATAGTTCAAACTCAGTGTGGTGAGACCTGTCAGTGCTCCCACATGCCGCATATTCCCATCTTCCAGGCAGCACAGTTCATCTAGATTCAAGTACTCCAGACCTGTGCAACTCTTCAGGAGTCGCAAACCATGACCATAGATCAACTGACATCCTGCAAGTGACAGGTGCCTTAGAGCAGTCAACTTCCCCACGTGTTTCAGACCTCCGTCGGTAACCTGTACACACATTATCTCCCTCAAACTATCATCTGTGGACATGTCCAGGTGGGTCAAAGACCCCAACTCTGTCAAGTGTTCCAGCCCCACATCTGTGATCTCAGGACAATTGCTAAAATTCAAATGTCTGAGGTTGGTCCACCTCCTAACCTGCCTCAATCCTGCATCTGAAACAACGGTGCAATAACTCAGATCGAAGAATGTCAGTGCACACAAGCCCCCCAGGTAAGCCAAGCCATCATCCTTGATTTCTGTTTCGTCAGGACTAAACAAATAGGAACTTGGACCAGAAATGCAGAGGTGCCTGAGGTCTGCCAATTGCCCCACATGCCACATGTCCTCATTGGTGAGCACATGTTCACCCAAATCCAGGTAGGTCAACTGATGCATGCCCTTCAGCACCCCCATTTCATTTCCTGCTGAGCGCACACCACAGTTTCTGAAGCTTAACGCTCGGACCCTCATGAATTCTCTCTTGATGGTGGCCAGCATGTGCTGCACAGGCACGTCCCCATGAAGGTTCAATGCAGTTGTGGCCCCCATGGCCTATGTGCTCCAATGCTTGTTCACCAGTCTCGCAACCTTCACCACACCATCGCCACCATCTTCGTCCCTTGCCACCACTTCCTTCAGTCGATCCAAGATCTCAAAGGCAGGTGGCTCCAGTCAGGATGCATCTTTCCTCTGTCCCGGTACAAAGACTGTTAGACTTTTTTTGAGGTGAACAATTTTGCCGGAGAATCCACACAAGGCTCAAAAACGTCCACTGAGAGCAACAGGGCACCAGCAGGATCGACGATGAATACTTAGAAATCGCCAAGGGTGCAACCAGCGGGAGAGACACACACAAGAGCAGCAGCTGGAATCAATAGTCTGGTACACCATGGAAGATAGCACTGTTGGGCATGGCAATGCACGATCAGGCTATGCCGCACTTGAGTGGGTTTGGGCACAAACCAGGGCACTTAGTGTCACTGTATGCATTGCCAAAATTATTGCACCACATTCTTCCTTAACAGGGTGGTGGCAAATAAGATCATCACAATTTCCTGCAAAGCATTGACAGCAAACCAAAGCAGGTACACAGCAAGGGCATTGCACCAGGATGATCAATCGATGGCTCGAAACAATGCACATCCAGCTCTAAATAACGTGGAATGGTATACTGGCACAAAATATCATGCCAAAGCAAGAGGGCACTCGGGGAAGCAGTCTCCTGTCCTGGCACCCCCGGCCTGCTCCACTCTCCTTCTCTGAATTTACGACTCAAAAATGAACTCTGTGAGACCTCCGTGGCCCTGAGGCCCTCTCTCAAGTGCAACTCGAGGTTCATCTCCACGGATCGGGCACCTGCAGCCCTCAAAACCCCACCCCACCCCACCCCACCACCAGTCATCGAATTTCACGCACAATGACATCGATTGCCTTGTGGTGGTGAGCATTTTGGCAAACGACAGTTTGTAAAAAAACGGGAGCCAATCTTTTGGGAAACATTCTTTTGGTGAACGACATTTTGTCGAAAACTTTTGGAGAAACTCAATTGTGGGGGGAAGATGGACAGATAGATGTACTGGACGGACGAGTCAAATGGATTGCCTCCCGGCCTCACGGCCCGAGTGCGTCGAACGAGCCGGGACGCCTATGGGAAGGCCCCGAACGACGGAGGGCCGCGGGCGGAGGCCGGCGTGGTCCGCAGCGGCGCCGCCGCTCCGCTGGCCGAGCGAGACGCGCCCCAGCCCGATCGCCAATCGCGCCATTCAGCCAGCCGGGAATCGAAGGGAGGACGCGCAGCGCCTTTCACGCGGCGCCTGGGCGTCCTCCTTTCCATACCCGAATCCTCCGCGGATGCGATTTCGCGCCCCAGTCCTCTCTCCCCTCTCCACCCCCTCCCGCCGCTGCCTCCAAGCCATTCCGCCAAATCCCGCAGCAACGGGAGGCGCGATCTCGGCTTGGCGCGTACAGGGCGCCGCGACCCCCCTCCCCTTAGCAGGAGGGCGCCCCCTCTGTATGATCCGCTTCTTTCTTTCTTTGCAACCGCTCCCCCCCCGCCCTCCCCCGCCGCGGCAACCTCAAGCCAAGGCGCGGCGCCCCCCCACCCCCCACCCACCATCCCACCCTCCCATGGACCCACGCGCACACAGCGGCGACTCCTCCAGTGGCGATCGCGGCGACTCACCAGCCAGTCTTCCTCCCCTTCCCCGCAGGTCGCAGCAAGAAGGCTGGCGACGTGTCCTTTTCTGTCAGCTGTGCACTGAGTAGTTGCTGTATGATGATGCCATGAATTCAATGTGTTTGAATTTAATGAGTGCAGTGCGGGAACTTGGATGTTTGACTTGGTTGGAATGTTCTTTTTTGAGGTTGACGCGATCCACACATCTTGGCAGCCCTGGAAAACGGGTTTAGGTCATTGTATTCAAACAGCTGGTCGCCTGAACGGTTTGCCCACCAGCTCATTTCGTGGGGGCGGTTGCGACGAATTTGCCTTGCGTGTGTCGTCTCCCCATGGCTTCAAAGCCGTGGCTTAGCGCGTCGCCCGTCTCAGTCCCGCTCCCAGCACAGGCAGGCTCTTGCGATCTACAATTTCGTAGCTGAGAGCGAAATACGAAAGGGTAATGGTTAAGTTTGGCAGAGCAGTCATTTGGTGTCTGGGTCGTGGGAATGAACATTATTGTCCAATGGTGTCCAATAATGTCCAACAATGTCCAATGATGTCCAGTGGTGTCCAGTAATGTCCAATGATGTCCAATAATGTCCAGTTCATGTCCAATTGTTGATCAATTATTGTCCAATATTGGATGGTTAGTGCGTTGACGGCCGTCACTCGACCTTGTACCAGCGGACATAATTGCTGTAAGAATTTGATCCTGTGTTGTGACTTTGTGGGAAGGTACGGGGTGAGTAATTGGGGACCTTGTGCAACGAATTGGCATGTAATTGAGCATTCTGCAAGTAGATGGCTTTGAGCTCATGGTGTGAGGCGTGTACGGGTTACGGCGTGTTGGGGGTAGCAGCTTGGAGCACGAGGGTTGCGTCAAGGGGGGATGGGGTGGGGTGGGGTGGGTTTCAGGCACTGAGCCAGCGAGGACCTGGAGGCACAGATGTGAGCTGGGCGGGCTCTCGTTGCGAGAACCCGCTCGGCTCCGAGATCAGGTGTGCTCATCGGGTACATGGATAAGAAATCTCAAAGCCATGTCTCATAACTATAATGCAGTAACATATCACCGACAGGCACGTTCCTTAGGGCCGAGGTAACCCTCTGTCAATCAGGCTTGGGTTTTTCATCTACGTTTGCGTTTTCTTTTACGTAACTGCACCTCAAAACATAAACGCACAGAAGGGGCTATTTTATCACGATGTGTTTGCGTACTTTTATAGCTCATCGAGGCGTCCAGCTCACATGATGAGCAACAACCTATGTTTGCGCCATAAATGCCAAACCTGCAGCCTGCCATGGACCCGTCACTTTCATCACACCGCCTCTTGCCCTGCCGCAGGCATAACGCCGATTGGCCGCCGGGCAGCGCCAATTGGTTGACGGACATCACAACCTTGAATCAGCCGGCGCGAAGGTGAAGGAAGCGGCGCTGGCAGGAGGCAGCCGCAGCAAATCCAACATTTCGTGGATCTTGGCTGAAATGCAATATACCACAGCACCAGTCTCAATTGAAACGTGATTCCTCCACGCTTGCTGCCACCGCAGCGCCCCCACCCACCCTCTATCTGACATCAGCACTCCGGAGCCGCTCAGCAACTGCCCGGTGACTCGCTCGCCTGGCACCGTGTCCCTGGCCTCCGCATATTTTGGCAACCGCGGCCAAGCGCGTTGGACTGCAGCTCGACGCGCCCGAACCCCGTGGATCCGTTTCAAGGGGTGGCTGCACGACGCACAGCGCGAACGCACCCTGGTGGGCCCCAAACTGGCGCATGCGCTCCACAGACACTCGACCAGGTGAGCGCGGGTTGGAGACGCGACTCCCGATGCCTCAATTCCGGGTTCCCGAGCTCCGGGACTTCGCTTTGCCCGTTCTTTCCGCTGGCTGCCAGCGGCGCGTGGTGCCTCTGAGAGCCCAGCGGCAAGGCGTTGCGCGGCGATCTGCGTGAAAGGCCCTGCGCCTATAGGCTCTAGCTGGAGGCGCAACGCCAGCTAGGCGTTGGATCCCTGCTCGCCGCGAGTCGCGTGTATGCCTCCTTTCGCTGGCAGACAGCGGCAGACCCGGGGGGTGAGGCTCGCTGCGAGGAGGAAGGGAAACAGACCTGTTTTCCCTTCTCTCTTGTATGATCTGTCATACAAGGCGCATTCCGTCACCAGCAAGTGGATGCGAGACCCTTTTCCATGTTGCGAAACATGTAGCAGAGTGTCCAGTGCCAAAGGGGGAAGAGTAAGTGGTGGGGGGCGGTAGGTGGAGGTTGGGCACGATGTGAACTGTGCAGAGGCAGCGGCAGCTGGGGCGCAGCGGTGGGTCGTGCACGCGACCGCGCTGGCGCGACCTGCAATGAGGGGAAGCGAGAATTGGGCACTAGCATTGTCTCTAGGGAACGCCCTAAGGCATCCGATTGAGGGGGCAACTGGGGGGAGAGAAGTGGAGCAGGGCGGGGTGGGGCAGCTCAGAGGTAGCCAGGAGGCAGGCCGCGGCGCTGCGTGATTCTCTTGGGGGCTGGGAGTGGTCGCGTGCCCCATGGCCGCCGAGAGGCCTGGCTTCACTGCCGGGGCCGAGGAGTGAAGTCCGGTGCGTGGTTGGGCGACAGGCGCGCTGGGTGTACGGCGCAACGCGGGCTCTATGGCGGCAGGGCGACAAGTGCTGCCTTAGGGACACGGGGTGTTGACCCCACGCCTGCTGCGGATTGAGAGAAATCTCAACTGGGCTCTTCGTCGACCGTCGAGCCGACAGGACAGCGTATACCGTTGTGTATTCCACCCTTCCACAATTTTCCAGACCGTTATTTGCTTTTCCATGTTGCTCCGCGCGTATTCTACATCGGAAGTATCGAAATTTCTCCGCGAAAAGGGCCAAGCGTTGCGTCACTGTGCGAAACGATGAATAATTCGTTGGAGTTCGGTTGAAGCAGGTTGAGGGCATTTCGTCGATCGATCCAGATTACGGTCGTGGATCTCTCCTGGAACACAGGGTTGGATCCCCAGTTCGCCCAACAGCTGGATTGAGGCTGCTATACATGCAACTGTACATGCATTACCCTGGGCCATGTTATACGTTAAGTGGTTCGTCGCTTTGGGAACCAGTGTATCGCCACTGGCTTCTGGTTTCATCCGGCACGCCTCTAACTCCGCAGGTTTCACGACAAACAGGTCGCAGGTCTGGGGGATGCTGGTCGCAGGTCGCAGCGCCTGTTCGTCAAATTCAATTGCATTATCCTAATTTTGCTAATGTACATGTTAAAATACGCTTTTGGTAAAATTTTACAATAGTACACGTGCTGTTGCATATTTAGAATATTAGAAGATCGTATTCCACAGCGCGGCAGTACCCGCTGGTCTCAGCAAATGGTCTGCAGCGGTGCTTCTTGTCGCATTGGAATCTAAAATG